GTCTGACGTGACATCGAATGAGAGGCGGACACGTCATTGACATACACGCCCATTGAATTATCGTGAACTGTGCCTTTAAGTTATGAAAAGGTCATATTTTCACGGCAAAATGCAGTTAAGCTTAGTGAGATTAGGATTCCATCCCTGTGTCGAACTTTCCCCATTCGAAGGAGTAACAAGAAAAGCTGCTATTCCATTGGCCCAGCCCTTTTATGTACTGATTCCTCCTGCAAACCACATCATTTGCAGTACTCTCCAAGAAAAGTCCTGGGGTAGGGAGATTGGGAGAGGTTTTGACCATGAATCACAGTTCGAGATATTTTCCAGCGAGGTCATTCCTCACTTCACCTGCTGCCTGTTCTTCCCTAACAGTTTTTCAGTATACCTGGAACTTTTCGTCCTGAGCTTGATCCTTCACTCTCAAATCCGTTTTACAGCAAATCAACGTGCCACCAGCTCCGCCTGAGAAGCGAGAGTTCACCAAGTCATCTCTATCCATTGAGCGTATCGATGTGAGTCGGATCATTCCCATCCTAGCTCAAAGGTGATTCACAGTCGAATGCCCGTTTGCAGGATATCGTCATTCCTGAACGTGTTCCCAAAACAACCGCCGAGGTCTCCCAAACGATCACCGACGAATATCGCGTTTTCGTGAGTTATCTGTTGAATTTTCTGGGAGTATTCGATCTGATCTGATCCAATCGCAAATTATTTTAGCACATTGATGAGCACTATGAACCACAGCAAATCACGACAACAGAACGTACCGTCCATGGTGGTGTTACTTATGAAGAAGGAGTGAGTTCAAGCCAAGCTATAGCATTTTTTTCGAACTGCGCATCATCACACTTTTTTCACTTTCGCTCTATTTCGCTTAGTTTTCCAGGGTAAGAAGGAAGAAGAGAAGAGAGTGACCATTGTTGAAGACAAAGAGACGGAAGAAGAGCACCGAAAGAGACTCCTCATCGAACAGGTGCAGTCAGACTTCAGTAAATTCAGGAGACGAGATTACTGGGCTGAAATTTCTTGTAATCTCAAAGTCGCCCTTATAGCTGGAACAAGAAGAAAAGGAGCTAATCGAGAAAATTCCGAAAGTTCTGAAGGAGGTCACGCAAGAGACATCCACGGAAGGATGGGTTCAGGTAAGTGCAGGAAATAATCCCCTCTCATAACTGTCGCCGTTCCGTGTTGTTTCTGTTGTTGGTCTTCGCGAAACAGTCTGAGGTGTTTTTTCTAGAGACAGTTCTTTCAATTTTACACCTTTTTTATGACTATCTATCGAAGGGGGTCCAGGGATACTCAAGTGGATGAGGGCGTAGACTTTTGTCCGCACTCAAAATTACCACGTGTTCGATCTCTGCCGAGGCAACATACGAAGCAAAAATGATATATAGATGATAATGAGGCACCCCTTTCAAGTCTGAAAGCGGAAGTATAGGTTGGGGATAGTTAAACGGTAGTGAAGAAAGCGAGAAAATCCGCCTATTTCGAGAAAAATATGGCTCCACAAAGGTAGGGAAAATATTGGTTGGACGGGATTACCATGACGGAAGTAACATGGAAGTCGAAGGAGTTGCAATTGCGCAAAGAGCGGATTACATCGTACCAGAACAGTACAAAACTGCCATTCATTGCCGCTGTGGGCCAGTTGCTTGAGCCTGGTAAATGGGTTACGCATTAGATCAATCCCAGAAAAGGGCTGTCTAATCA